TGTTCTTGAAAGTCTTGGTGATGGGACCAGAGCCCAAGCCAGGTGTTCAAGCCTGGCTGCATGGAGGAAACTTTAAAAAAATGCAGATGGAGTGTGGCCTGGATAGTTCCGATGGGCATGCTCCAGACAGAAAACCAGAGTTAAGGGGAAGAACTTCAATGGCTGAGCCACAGCTCCATCCCTCCCACCCGGCTTGACTGCCCATCAGTGGCCTCTTCTGGTTTGGTACCAGTGGAGGTGAGAGTGTGAGTATGTGAAGGGGGCAGGGGGACCCCATCATCTTTAGGCTGTTGGGCTTGTAGGGGTTCAGAACCAGTCTTCCCAGAATGTGCCACTGGGCATGCAGATTATTTTGAGCTGACAAAGTCCAACAAACTCAAGAAGAGCTTTTTTACCTCCCCCAAAGGAATTCAGACTGAAAAACCTGTTCCAGGAAGGGAGCTGGACATGCCTAGATGCAGTGGGCAAGAAGGAATCTAGTCCAGTCTGTTTTCCTATCTGTGCTCCGTTGTTTCGGGGTGGTCCCTGCAGGCGTTTGTTTACCAGGCCTTTGCTCTTTCTCATGTCCCTGTGACTCACTTATTTTCGCTTTGAAGACCGCCCGCCCCCTCCTCTTCTTAGTCCAGAATGACATATATACCTCATTTTGCCTTACCGTCTTTGAAATTTTCATGCTTATGTGAATTTTCAGTGTGCATGTATTAAAACTTGATTTTTTTCCTGTTAATCTGCCTTATGTCATTTTAATTACTCCACCACCAGAGGAACCAAGGAAAGGGGGGACTGTTCCTTCCCCCACAGCCTTATGTCTCTTTTCCTCTGCAATAAGCCTTCTTCCCATCCATGTTCTAGTAACTTCTAAGCACATTTATCAACATCCACATTTCTATTCTGAGAACATTCTAACCTATGTGCAAAGCTCTGTGGTGGTGGGACATGGACCAAAGTCTCTCAGAATGAAGAGGATTTGGACATTATAGTCCAACTCTCTGCCTGACCTAGGAATCCTGCTACAGTGAACCCTGGGGACAGATGGTGAGGCAACTCAGTCACGACTTGTAGGGACAGGAGCTTGTTATCGGTCTAGGTAGTCTCTTCCCATTCCGCTGGCTGTAATCATCAGAGCCACCACTACTAATCTTGAAGAAAGACAGTCACCACTTACTGAGTGTTGACTATGAACAGTTTTGGCCTTGAGGCACACAGTGCAAAAATCAACAATCAAATCGATTTTATTATTTATGATCTGGCTTACTGATGGGTGTTGCCACCATCTGTGCCTTCCTACTTAAACTAATTGTTCTTGCTGACTGCTCAGTGTAAACTCAGCTATTACTATGTCAACAATAAGATTCTAAATTGTCCATTTTGTTTTTTTCTTTATTATTGTTGACACTATTGCAGATGTCCCCATCCCCTGCCCCTTGCTGCCCTCCACCCACCCCACCCCCTTCCCTCTGGCCATCACCATCCATGCGTTATGCATATATATTCTTTAGCTAATCCCTTCATGTCCATCTTTTAAAGTGATTTCAGTGCTTTGGGGACATCCTGATTATTAACCTAGAGAGGGGGAGCTTCTTTAGCTTCAGCATCTAAACAAAACCTTCCTTTCTATCCTCTCATCCCTGTGCTGGTCCACAGAGTTCCCACTTTATATATGTGGCTAATTTGTGCTTCTGTGGTATCTCTCTCTCTTTCCTTTGGTAAAAGCTTTATTGAGTTATAATCCACACACCATACAATTCAACCATTTAAAGTGTACAATACAATGGTTTTTAGTATTTTCACAGACTTGTGCAACCAACACAATTGAATTTAGAACATATTCATTACCCTCAATAGAAACACTTTTCATTCTTTAGCAATTTATTTATTCTTTACCAATCACTTCCATTCCTTCCACGGATTTGTTTTCTCTTTCTATGGATTTGCCTATTCTGGACATTTCATATCAGTGGAATTATGCAATAGGCGGCCTTCTGTGACTTTGCTTAATGCCTTCATCCACCTTGTAGCAAGTATCAGTACTTCATTCCTTTTTATTGTGAATAATACACCATTGTATGGCTAGGCCACATTTTGTTTACCCATTCATCAGCTGGCGGACCTTTGGGCTGTTTCTGGTTTGCTAATTGTCAATAGAGCTGCTGTGGATGTGGTGTCTTTGTGTCATCAGCCCTGAGACTGAGAAGAACTTGTTCAGACCATCTTTTCCAATGATCGAGAGTGATGTAATGAAACCCTGTCCATTCCCCTCTGCTCCCAGCACCTACACAGCTTCCCTGGGCTCAGAGCCTCCTCAGGAGGTGGGGAACAGTCGAGTGTCCCTTTCTGTTCTCCAGGAAAGGCGGTTTGGGGCAGAGTCTTCTGGGTCAGGCACAGTCATCGCAAACACTTTCCGTTTTGTTGGGCCTGCCGCAGTGATCAGTCAGCCTTATGAGGAGTTGTACCTGCAGGCTGCCCCAGTCTGGTTTTCTCTTCCCTCACCGCTTGGCCCTAGTCCCGGGGTCTTCCCCTTCTGCCTCCAGCCTGGCACCCTGAGCAGAGCCATTCAGGAGAGCAGTGCTGATCTCTTCTCTGGTTCTGAGGCTGAGCTGGGGACATGAGGGCAGGGTTGGCTGGGGCCTTTGAGTGATAGGGAGCTGACAAATGAGATGCAGACACTTCTGGTCCTGGATTGTTCTGGGTTGCCCCAGCAAAGAGGGTCTCTCCCTGGGTGACATCTGGGCCAGCCGTATAACCTGAGAACCACAGCAGTCCCTTGTAGCCCCCTTTGTCCTCGCCTTAAACACAAGGAAGGCACTACTGGAACCAGGGAACCAGGTGGGTGGCGGAGGGTCTGAGATTTCAGGGAGACTCTGGGTTGCTGTTCTGTGTTCAGGACCTCAGGTAGGGTCCCTCCCCTTAGAGTCTGCCCAGGTCCACCCAACTACAGCGTGGGGGAGGGGAAGAAGCGGGGAGCTGGTTGTCCTCTCCCCACAGCTGCCATACCAGTCTGACCGGCCTCTCCCTCTCCTTCCGCCTTCTCTGTCTTGGGTTTGGCACCTGGCCCATACCCCTCCCTTTGGTCTCTGGAAGGAGAAGTCTCTCTGTCCTGCTAGGTGTTGGTGTTTGATGGGGAGGGGGTGGCAAGCATTCAAATCATCCTTTGGAAAACTGAGCATTGTTTAAAGGGGCTGGGAGAGGGCCTGGTGCAAACAGGTACTAACTGGATTTCCCCTTGCCTGACTGAGCTCATCAGGAAGCCAGAGGCTGGGGAGGAGCAGGAGAAAAGAAGGGAGGGAGAAAGGGATGTGGTTATTGAGTCCCCTCTGGGAGTCTCTGGATTTGTCTTTTTGGAAGGGGCTTTGAAGTGTGTCTTTGTCTTGGGTGTGTGTGTGTGTGTGTGTGTGTGTGTGTGGTCTGAGGAGAGCTCTTCTGTGTGTCTGCCTTTTTGGATTTATATCTATGCCCTAAGTAGGGGGCTTCTGCGTCTCTCTGTCCCTCTGTAGGGGTCTATGTGCCTGTCCTTCTGGGAGCCCAGTTGTCTCTGCTGAAGAAGAATGGGGAGGAACCTGTATAACTGGCCTCCTGGTGGGTGGGCAGGTGTAGCACCCCCCCTTCCTTGAGTTTGCAGCTGTGGGCCACCTCTCCCTCTCCCCAGGGGACCTGGGTGATTGGCATCTGTTGGTCTCTCTAGTTAGAGTCATCCAGTCCCTACTTCATGCCCTGCAGGATCTTCTAGAGAATTCAGCCCCATCATCAGGTGATTATAGCTGGAATCTCTGCCTCGGGGACGCAAACAAACCTCCTGCCTTCCACCCACAGCCTGCCCCACCCAGTCCGCCCAGGCCTGGGGTGTCTTGTTCAGCTCCCCTTTCTCCAACCTGCAGGTGCATGCTGTGCCCCAGCCTGCTCTCCTGACTCATTTGGATAATGGGTTCAGGGAGACAGGTGCAGGGACTCTCTTCATTTCCTCAGGCTATTTGGGTTTAGGTAGGGTCCCTTTTGAGGAGGGCCTATGTGGCTGCATCAGCCCCCCCCCCCC